TGGCGGTCCTCAAATTCCAGTCAACTGGGCTGGGCTCCAGTCGAAAACCGGACTAACTTTTTTTGCGCTCGCCGTCTACTTTCCCTTCCTTACTTTCACCCTACGCGGATTTCTTCCGAAGTTCTCGATTTTTCCTTTTTTTTAAATCACAAGCTACTGTACCATCACAACTACTGACAGGTGCACAATTTTTCCAACTTTTAATCTGAAAAACAATTTGTTTTTTCCAGAAATTAAGGCAACTAATTAGTAGTGCCGGACGCAGAAATAAACTAAGCCTAAAATTTCGTCCTTTTGTTTTTTTCGAGAGATAAGAAAAATTGAATGAATGCTTCTGTGAACAAATTTCAGTGATACTTTGAAAATTGATCTCCAGAAAACTAAAGAAAAGGAGACTGCAAATTGAAGAAACGTATTTTGCTAACTGACGTGTGCATTCGGATCATTTAACGCCTACATTTTTCTCCTGCCGTTTTTTCGATCAAAGAAAATTTGAATAAATACTTTTGCGAGGAAATTGCAATAATTCTTCAAAAAATAATCCCCGAAAACCAAGGAATATATGGAATCTGTCAAATGAAAATAGTATTCGCTCGCTGGCTACTTTTGAATCAATCAAAGGCGCGCAGAAATAGGACAATAACATGGAAACATCACAAGATGACGTAAAGAAACCGCGTGTCATCTTTTCCCTCAGTAATGTTCACGAAAAAATCCACGTCCTACGAAATCGTAATAATGCTGCCAGATTCATGAAATAATTGCACGAAGGAAAATTGTGAGAATTTTAATTTTAGGAATATTTTCAAAAATTGTGCACCAATGCCTGGGATATTTAGTAAATTTTCAATTGTTCGGAGACCTTCAGTGGCAATTGCATGAACTTTCGAAAAAGCCGCACTGCAATTACGGAAACAACTTTTCCTTCTCTGGCGAGATTTTTGTAAAGAAAAAAAAAAGTGGGGCTTGAACTCGGGTCACGGCCCTGAATTTCTTGACAGGTCACGCGTCGTCAGCTCGCTCAAACGATTCCTTTCATTGCTGATAATTCAACTGATTTCGAGCAATTTACACGAGAAGAAATCTCGACACGGAACAATGAAAAGAAAAGTTGACACCTGGAATCTCTGATTTCGCTCGGAAATAATTCACGGGAACTCAGAAGAAAATGATGCAGGAAATAATTCCCTTCCCGAAAGATTGACAAAACGGAAATGTAAAAAACGAGAGAAAAAAAAAGCGGGACCACATAGCAACAGGTGATGAATGATGTTGCCATTTTTTGATGTCCTCTTTCTGCATTCTCACGAGTACTGTACTGTGACTCGGATTTTTATTCATGAAAATAAAACTCTATAGAGTTCGGGACAGGCAAGTTTAAAGCTGTGTTCTAATTTCCTTGACCTGCATTTTTCTGCCGGTTTTTTTTTTTCTAAGACTACTTACTACTACGACACATTGACAAAAAAGTGCGTTCTTATTTTGCCGTTATAAGAGTAACTTTAAACGGGAAAGCTTCACAAGTTTCACCTTTGTAAAAAGGAACAGGCTCCGATCGTTTCCCTTGTTTCAATTATAATAATAATAAAAAAACGCAGTCAAGAGAAACTCAACACTTCTTTCGAGAGCAATTTTCTTCGCTCACTCGAGGCAACATCGAAGCCGGAAACGAGGTTAATTTGTTTATTCAAATCCAGCTGCAGTTCATTATTTATTTCCCCGTCTTTTGCTCCTCTTCATGAGCACATAATCATCCGAAGAAAGAAACGTGGGCGAATGCTCAGGCAATGCTTTGCTGCAGCCATTACTGTTATTAGGGCCCTGTTTGACAGAAACAAAAACGAGAAGAGAAACCTTTTGAATCGTTGCGCGGGAAATTGCCTTCGAAACGGGGCAGGCTTCTTTCCATCTACTTGTTTATATTTTTTATTTGTTTTCCTTTCTTCAGCATTTGCCTTTTTTTATTTCTTGAGGGTGCCAGCATATCTGGCTGGGTGCCCTGCAAATTTTTGGAGTACGAAAGGCCACCAGTTATTTTCATGAGATTTGCTTGGGAGCATTTGATGGTTTTACTCCCTAAAATTCCTCATATTCTTCTTAAACCTGACTATTAGAGGTAGTAAAAATAATCTGTACTTCAGAGGTCATCCTCATCTGATGATGCTCAAATCAAATGGATTTTTTTGTGGAAAGAAATTTCTCAAACACCATCGTTAACACTTTCACGCACCAGCATTGGTTCATGAACACTTGTTTCAAGAATTGCGGAATTTAAAATCGTTCTGAAATCTAGGTTAACTGAATTGGTCTTGGTCATCTAAAGGAAAAATAATGAAAATTGCAATGTTTGATGGCTTCTTGAACTTGAATTTAATTGTCACTTACTCAGGATGAAACAAAGAAAAGACAATGTGTTGAAGTGCAACCCACGAAAATCAAAGAAGTTTGTGTTGTCTGAGGTTCAATTTTTATTAATTTTGCAGAATCCAAGTTCATCAACATATTTAAAATTAGTAAATAATCGCGTTGATCGGAATATTCCAAGCCTAACGATTGTGTCCGAAAATACGGATCTCCGTAATTTTATCGATGGCAAAAGGGTCTAAGAGTTTTGAAAAATATGGAAAGTGAGTAAAAATTTGCGCAACCCAGAGCTAAATTTGAATAATTTTTTCAAGAAATAAACAGAGCCTTGCTTCAAGTTTTTTTGTTTATTACGATCGTAGTTTCAAAGATTCTGAATTCTTAAATCGCCTTCTTTCCCGAATTAGGTCATTTTAAATTACAGACACATTGTTTAAAGATACTCGTCCGAAATTTCATCTAAACATGTCAGGTCTCAGTTCAAGACGAGCTTTATTTTGTCAGCCAAGAAATTTGTACCCGCACGCAATTATTTCAGCCATGGCAAGGTTCACCGCCTTTTACTTCCAAAAAATTCGCTCAAGGCCCAGGAAATGGGCAGCGAATTTCCAGGACTTTGCACTTGATGACCGCCAAAAACCAACGGGTCGGTATTTGCGGACGGGTAACCACGAATAACGGTTCAACAATCGAACCGAATCACGATGATTTCATGCGAGAGGTCAATGGTCTCGTGAAATTCAGCAGTTCTGTGGCTGAAAATTCCCATCACAACATGTATTTGCTGGTGATTCAGAAAAATATTGCCTTTTCTTATGACTTCTGAATCTTTTCGTCGCTTTTAATTATCGTTCATCCGGAGTTCTGGGCATTTTCCAGTAATTAGACTGAAGTATATGCATCACATGATCAATCTGATTTATCCGATGAAATAATATAATTAGGAAGTGGCGGAAAGAATGAAATGGAATCAGATGTTCCAAGGACGTCAGGAACTGGTAGAAGGAAAGTTCTCCATCAACTTTTGCACAGTTGGGCGATTCACTTTCCTCTTATCTCTGTCAAGATGCCGGAAGTTAGTACAATCGCAGAGATCAATCATGGGATTTTTTTTTATCAAGAGTCGAGAGATGGTTCCAAGGTTGCATCACTAATAATCTTGAGATTGAGCTTTTCGAGGAACCATATTTGGGATTGAGAATCTCCCCAACGATTTTGCGATGAAATGCAATTTAGAAAAATTCTTTTCAAGCAAACAGCCACGACTTTGAAAACCAATTTCTCAACGATTGTCATTTCAAGGCAAACCTTCACATGAGTTATTACCAAAGAAAGAAATGAAAAGAGCATGACATTTTCATTTCGAAGCATGGTCGTCAAATATAGGGATTTTGCCCATGAGAATATTCAAAAATAATTTCAAAAGCCAGAAAATTCAACTGGGAAGTGTTAAAATCATTTCCTAATATTTCCTAGAAAATGCAAAGCGATTGAGGAAAAATTCAAACAAGATCCATAAAAGGACCAGGTTTCTCTGTGAAAATTGCATGCATTCATTCATTATTCAGACTGCGAAAAGAGAGACAGAAACTTGCGAAATAACCTCTTCTGATTCCTCAAAACTAGCAAGGTCATAAGAACTTTAAAAAAAATAATTGAAATACAGTAGTATTAGTGCCCCTGATCACAGTTTGTCAAGTGAGCTAGTTTTAGTCCAATACATTTAAATCAATAATTAGGGAACGGATTGTTTGAGAATTTTCTGAACTCCTACGCGGATATAAACCGGTTTTTAAACATATAACTTTTTAATGATGGAACAACTCATTCAGGATTCCAGATATTGGGTTCAGGGATTCAAATAAAGATTTAGAGAAAGTGCTGCACATACTGAAAAGAACTTGGGTAAGGCGGAAAAATCTTGAAAGGGGTTTACTACTGTAAAAAGTGAAGTAATTGCGCACAACTGTTTTTGAGGTTTTAGCTTAAGAAGTAAATTTTTACTGACTAATCGCAAATATAAACTACCACATAATTTTTTATAACCTCGGTTACCTTCAAGATCAGGTGCGCTTTTTTGCTCAGTATGAGCCACACAAAATAGAATCACCAAAACATTCACAAATGCTGAAATAATCATCAAATTCTCATTCGGGATTTCCGAAAATTCGCATAAACTCAGGTACAGTATATTTAATACACTGAAGGTTCAATATCTGTCTAATTATTTACTATAGAGGACGTTAAAATTTTCAATTAGTTTTCTGCTTTTAATTAATTTTCTTCGGCAGTTTAAAATTCATTAACTAGGATTTCAGTTGGGCTCCACCCAAAAAAACTCAATTTTCTCAGCAAAGCTTGAATAATACTCAAAGTTTCACGCAATAAAATTCAGTCTTCGAAGTTTCATAGTTCGGGGCAATTTTCTGTATAAAAAGTGACTTATTCACGCGTAAATAAAATAATACAGTTTCTTTTTACTTTGATTCACTGAACACTTATGTGAGATGATAAATTTGTTTTTCCTCCGGATATAAATTTTTCTTCGCGCTCGCGACCTTTGAAATAGTCAATGATTTCAGCAACTACATTTTTAAATTCATTTATTTATTCTTCAAAAAAACCAGTACACTCACCATGAAGCTTGGCAACGCATTCGTCTGTGTCGCCGCGATACGCCGGTTCAGCTGAGCCGCATTGACAGGCGCACTCCACGGCGGCGGCGGCGGTGGTGGCGTCCTCGCCCAAGGCGTTGGTCGCCTTGTCCGCCAGCAGCGCATTGGGCGGCGCTCTAGTCGCTCGGCGCGTACCATTTTTCCCGCAAGCATCGTAACACGTCCCACCTGACATAACTATT